TTCTTCTTCTTTATCATCATCTTCTTCAAAAAATATGATTGGCATACTCTTTGATCGTTTAATACGTTTATCTATGTCATCTCCAATAGTATAAATTTCTTTTAGTCTTTCTTCAAATGCTTCTTTCACAATTTTTAATCCTTTTTCATAGTTTTCTTTCTTCTTTTGATAAAGAGAAACATAACTATTTGTTTGTTTACATAACACATTTAATTCTTCTTTTAAAATAGTAATATCATCACTTTGTTCTTCTTTTCTTTCTGCCTCAAATATTCTACTTTCATTAGCCTTTAGTTGTGTCATTCGTTCTCTTGTTTTTTCTTGAACAATTTGTATTTGGTCTTCAAGTTGTTTAATTAATGAATTTAATTGAGCAATTTTCTTCTTGTATTGGAAACTAAGTTCTTTGTATCGTTCTCTTTCTTTAATGATTTCTTCCAATGATCCCATGAAAATAGAAATTCCTTTAAAGTTTTTAGTTCAATGTTCTATTTTAAACTACTTCTTCTTTTATTTTTATTCTTTTTTGTTTCATTTTTATTTTTGTGAAAAAATAAAGTATCATTAATAGTTTTAATATAGTTTCAATATCGTAAATTCATAGTTATAATAAAAGTACTATACTTAAATTATATTTGAAGAAAGTGATTAAATGACGAAAATAATCAAGTAACAAATGAATGGATTTCAACCCGATCACAACAAACTACAAACTATCCAACAAATTGTTGAAGCTTCTTTAAATTGTCAAAGACAAAATGAGGTATTACAATTGTTAGATGTTGTTTATCATTATGAAGACTATGCAATCTACTTACAATATTTATTGTTAAATACAACAAACGAAGTATATTTAACAATTATATTATCATTACTCAGACAAGCAATTAAAGATGGACGTACCGTAGATTATATTGAAACAATTCAAATAATTTTTAAATTAATAAGAGATGAGAAACAATATATAATGAAAGGGGGATGTTCTATTTTAACATTATGTTTTTGTAAAAGTCCATTAACTAGTCAAATGATTATTCAATTCATTGGTTCTTCATTACAATCAACACAAGCATTCTTAGTACAATTTGGAATAGAACTTCTTGACACTATTATTACAGACCATTTTGAGAGTTTAGATAAATCATTTTATCCAACAATTGAAAAACTTATGGAAATGGTTCTTCATTATTTTCCTTCAATTCCAATTAATTTAAAATCAAAAGTATTAAACACATTTACAGAGCTCATTCTTTTTGAAGCACCATTTTTATCTAATGCATTAGAATTATTAATGAGAACATTTTGTACAGAGATTTATGATGACAAGGAATATAGAATTAATCTATGTTCATTTTTAGTTTCTATTCCTCAAATTTATATTGAAGAAATACCACATTATATGAAACAAATACAAACAGTTGTTCAAATATTATTAAATGATAAATATGAAGCTGTTTTTATTGAATGTACTGAAGTTATTATTTCATTATCATCAGAATTTGCAGAAGAAACACTTCCTTTCTTAATTCAATTTATTCCACTATTCTTTGAACGATGTTTATTAACAGAAGAACTTATTTATAAAATCAATGAAGAAGATCAAACAAGACAAAAAGAACAAGTTATGATTCGTGATGATGAACAATATGATTATGATACATCTGTTCGTAGTTCAGTATTTAATTTATTTGAATTAATTAATAATTCATTTGATTCAAATACTGTTGGAACATATATTAATGCATGGTGTCATTGTTATGAACAAAGACAACAAGTTCAAAATGATTGGAGAAATATAGAAGTACTAATTAGAATTCTCAATGTTTCAGTACCATGTTATCATGAAAATGATTTATTTGATAGATTTGGGAGATTTTGTATAATTCCAATACAAAATATTATGAATGAAAATACATATATTAAAAGAATTGCTATTGAATTTATTGGGAATGTACCAACATTAGTTATTGGAACATCACCAGAAATTAAGAATTCATTATATAATTATTTATTAAAACTTATTGGAGATAATAATTATACAATTTCATGTATTTCTATTCAAACATTAAATAATTTGATTAATGGTGGATTATTTAAAGATAAATTAAATCAACTTTTTATTTTAATTGTTCCTACAATTAAAAATTTAAAAGGTCAACCATTATTAAATGTTTGTGATTTACTTAGTTCAGTCATAGAAACACTAGGTACTAATTTAACTAATGAAATGGAAAATAGTATTCAAAATGAATTAATACAATGTATTTATCTAAATAATAGAAATGAAGATGTTATAGATATTTGTTTGACTACATTATTTAGTAATATTACGTTATTTCATTCTATTTCAAATGATATGATAAATACATTAATTACTATCTCATTTCAATGTATAACAACGTTCATAGAATCTGCTGATATTGTTAGTTCATGTTTAAGAGTATTTGAATGTTTATATAAGAAAAGTACATCATATATGATTTCTTTTATTAATTCTCATCAAAATGAAATGTTTAAAATATTTGAAGTTACTCTTCCACAATTACATAAAACTATTATTCAAGATTCATATGGATTATTAGGAGATATTATGAGTGGATGTTCTTCTTTTATAATTCAACATTTAAATTTCTTTATGGAAAATATTAATACAATGATTTCAACATTTCATGATGACTCTGTTACATCAGTTATTTGGGCTATGATTCAAGCATTAACATATCTTCCTCAAAACATAACTCTTTATATTCCTTCATTTGCAAAAAAATCATTCCATCTTTTTACAGATTCATCAGAGGTAGTTATTAAAAATATGTATGCTTTTGTATCTAAAACAATCCCAATTGACCAAACATTATATATCCCTTATTTACAATTATTGACAGGTCAAACATTTAAAACAATTTTATTAATAAAACAACCATTATACATTATTGAAACATTAACAAATTTTGGTCATTTAATTATTGAGAATAATGTTGTATGTAAATGTAATAATCAAATTATTAAAGACGTTTATTTTAAGGCATCTCAAATGATACCATCATTGGTAGAAATAGCTCATAAAGTTATTGCTACTTTAGAAATATATTAAAATTGAATACTTATTGAATTAAAATTAATTGTTTTAAGTTATGCAAAACATGAGTCCATTGTATTTGTAATTCATGAATATCGTTATAAATTGAGTCAAGTTGTTCAATAGTGATATGAACTTCTCTTTTAGCCATTACAGTAACTTCGTATTTATTATATAAATATGTAACGGTAGGATACTTATTTTGGATTACAACAGGCTTAGTTCCTTTAGGATAACCCATCATTCCTTCTCCACATCCCCATTCAACTGATGTTAGTAAAAAGTCATCTGGTTGAGCACTTTGAGACCTAGATAATAATGTTGTTTTGGATTTTTTGGATAACCCAGGACTCAATTTTGATTGTTGAATTACAGGTCTAGTTAATTGGAATGAATTTCTTTGTGTTTCAACTGAAGTAGATAATTCAACTTGTTTTATTTCCAAACCATAGACTTTAATTATAAATTCTCTGTGTTGAATATAAATTTCAAAAATACAATTTGCTGGTGGCTGAGGCTCTTGATATAATAAAGATGGTTCATATTCTGGAAAGAGTCCTTTTTTTGGAGGATTGTCTAAAAGTCTAAGTGCTTTTGCACATGCTTCAATAATATTAGTTATAGTAATAATAAGTTTATTTAAGTCTGTATGATTTTCTTTTATTTTAGTTGTTTCATCCAAAATAATACAACATTGACGATAAAACTCTTGCATTTGTAATATTTGAGACTCTCGAATTTTAGCAAAGATTGGGAATTTTTGCCATTGAGGTAAATTAAATCTAATTTCTGTACCATTACAAAACCATCCATTTAATTGTAAAACCCCTTGAAATGTTCCACTTTTAATATAAATATTTATATTTATTATACTTAAAAGAAGAACAAACTCTTGTAATTGAAATTTATATGTTTTTGGTTCTAATTTTTCTTGTTCAGGTGTTGGCATTAAATATGACATACATTTATTGATTGTAGGAAATGTTTGTTTTATTAATGGTCTAATTTCATGGAAATAAAACCATTCATTTTCATCACAAAATTTAGGTAAAGAAGGTGTTATAGAAGGTGTTCTTTTAGGAGTAACTATGACATAAGTCATTGAGCAACAACAAATTAATAACAAAGAAAAAATTAATTATTTTTATTTTCAAGTTTTTCTTTTTTTTTTT